ATGTCAAAATTTTTTTTGCTCATATATGTAATTATATACATAAGAAAAAATAGAAAAGAGGATGAAATAAAAGAAGATTTTCATTATTAAGGGTAAAAGAATTATGAGTTATAAAAATTTATAGATTTTCAATTCAAATTTGTAAGTTAATAAGTTAGTGACTTTTACGTAACAATTATTTTGTATTGTATAAGCTATTATAAATAAATACTTTAATCGTGTATACTTAAAAATATATAGAGTTGGTTATAGCCTTAATTATATTTGATGAAATATTTCGATATAGAGGGATTTATTTAAGGGAATTAATGAATGATTAGTAATAATCATAGTATACTATTTTGTTATTTAGTAATATTTGCTTTAGAATATTTAAAGTTGGACAAATATACACATAATTTAACACGTTATATGTTACATAAATATGTATAAACCGACGTGATTAAAAATTAATAGAGATAAATAATTATATATATATATATATTTTAAAGTATGGATAACATTTTAAAAAATAATAATAATATAAGTAAAATTAAACATTTGTTTATAAGTGGAATTGCGCTGACGTGGCAAAACAAATGAAACTGAGTGAGAATAAATAGAGAAGAAAATCGAGCTTTACATTATTATAGTTTGTTTATAAAACGGACCTGCACTCTCTCTGTTCCTCTTGAGAGAGATGGAAGGAAACGATGTGGATATGGCAGCCCCTGAAAATAACGACACTGTAAATCTTCTCTTTCTTTATTTTCATTGATTTTTCATTCTCTCGTTCTTTTTTTATTTTTTATTTTTTTTGATTTGTTGGAGCTTATTGTTTCGTATAAATCATGAGGATGTGCAAAGCCCTAGTTTTCTAATTTTGGGGTTTATAACTGTTAGCATTTATGAATTGCAGGAACTTGATGATATGAAAAGACGTTTGAAGGAGATGGAAGATGAAGCTGCTGCTTTAAGAGAGATGCAGGCTAAAGTTGAGAAAGAGATGGGTTCCGTACAAGGTAATCACCCCCTGTAATGTGTAGTTTCTAGATATGTGATTGTATCTTCTAGTATCTTTTAGCGTTGGATACCAGAAGGAAGGATGGACGAGGAAGCGGGGGTTGGGGAAAGGGGCGCTTGGTGCTGAGGAGCGAGAGTAGGAAATTAATGGAATTCTATATCCTGTAGGTTATTTCTATTATTATAATTCGTTGATGTCCCTTCTCGAAGGGAAAATAGTAGAATGGCCATAACATGTTAACTATGATTCAAATGGTGATCCATTTCTTCAATAAGTAGTCATATGATCCTTTCATTTTACTTGCCAATAAGATTTATGGCCACTACCATGTATAACCATGGATGTTTACCTCTACAAGCTTTTTACTCTTGCTTTCTCATTGTTCTCATGCTACTAGATCCCGCTGCTGCTGCTACATCCCAGGTGAACCGAGAGGAAATTGATTCTCGATCTGTTTTTGTTGGTAATGTAAGGGTCTTTTCCTTATTTACTTTATCATTGGGTGCATGTGTTTTATGTGAATGTTGGGACTTGATTCTCTCAGGTCAATTGACTTGTTGTCCTTAGTCAGAACATTGTTGCTTAATCTAACTTTTTGCTTGCTATCAGAGCTTCTCCATAAGTTATTGGACATTGGCTATCGAGCCATGATTTGAGGTGTATGCGAAATGGAGTTAGAATGTGATATTTATGTCTATAACTAATGTATTTCTTCCCGAAGTTGATAAATCCACAAATGTCTTTAGTGCCGTGGGTTTGAGTGTAGCAACATGGGTATCTTCTTTTACTGCACTTCCATTTTATTTTATTTTATTTGGTTTTGTGCTGATGTGCATTTGACTTGAGTATCTGCTGGAGTTTCTCAGTTTTATTATTGGTTTTGATTTATCTTTTACTACAATCGCAGGTCAGGCTTCCTTCTTCAACTTTTCTGATTAAGTAGTTCTTGGGATTTGGTGGAAGAGTTCTAGTAATGTGTCTGAGCTAGGAAAAAAACTAAATTTACTCTTCTACTTGTGTGAACAGACTATGACTTTAAGGAGAAAGAAATAGAACAGAGGGGTTAGGCAGAAAATAAAGAATAAAAAGCCCATCTACCCCACAACATCAACCATGCCAAAACATTCTCTAAGATTTCACTCTTAACCCCTCTATGCCTTGGGTTAATGGCTTATCTCAAAAAAAAAAAAAAAAAAAAAGTCTCAGGGTTAATGGCTTTATTATGTCAGAAAAAGAAAAGAACAAAATGGTCTAACTGTTGACAAAAATGAAAGAAATGCTTTTCAAAATGGATGGTTGGATGAGGAAGAAAGATAGGAAGAAACAACTAGTAAAAAAGAACAAAAAATTTCTATATGAAGAGTAAGAGTGATCATCGTGTGAGGAGTTTGAACTGAAGCTGTAGGAACATCATATGGTATATAGGCATGTGTTTCTGGTTTGGATGGATGGTGAAATAAAACGGTTCCCAATCATTCAGTCGAAAGAATGTTCGTTGAAGAGTAAAGCCTAGCCATTGGTATTTGCTGTTTTAAATGCAGAGCCAGAGTTCTGCTCTTGCTGGTGGTAAATGCTGAAAGGATATCTAGGTGTTTGGTGCTTATGGTGAGGAGTCTGATCTCTTTTATTTCATCATTTGGAATAAATCGGGATCTCTAATTTCTTTCCATTTGTAATTCTTTCTGTCTTATTCTTCATTCCTCGAGATATCATAAAGCAACTTAAATTCAAAATTGTAACGAATACGTATACACGAATATTAGAAGTTTTTATTATTATTATTATTTTTTTATTTTGACATCAATAGCTTATGAAGAAGATGACATTTGCTTAGAATTTAAGCAGCAGACTTAATCTTTACGAGCATTCCTTGTTGTGGTAAAATAGGGATTCCACATGATTAGTAATCATAAGAGCTTACAGTCGCTCTATGGCATCTGAAGAAACATGCATGTAACTATGGATTATGAATGCCAAAAATGAAACATGCCTTTCCAAAATGGAAAATTAACCTCAAGAATGACAGGTAATAGGTTTCATTTATCTATAGATGAGGTTGATTGTGAACATCTGATGTGATGGTAGGATGGCATTCTGAAAATTCTGAACAATATGTACCAGATCCCTAAACCCCTATTTGAAGAAGGAAAAAAAAAGTACATAATAAAATATCTTTTCGTTTCTCCTATGTCCTCTGCTATGGGATAACACTCCTTGTCCTTTTGAAGCTGATATGACCGGACTGCTTCATGTTTTCAGATCGATTATATCTACTTTTTAACTTGTCGACTTGTTGCCGAGTTAGATAGATTAAAATAGTGTGCACGATCATTTTTATACCCTTAGGTATGGATGGTCCACTAGCTGGCTTTACCTGAAGAGGCTGGTTTTACTAGCATTTAGCTTGATTATAACATATAACATCTGCTTTTAAATTATTGAAGTTTTGCTTGGTTACTTTTTTTTGCTGGCCTAAATTTTTATATCTTCTGGCTTTATACTTACATTAGGCTTGCAGGTAGACTATTCATGTACTCCTGAAGAAGTGCAGCAGCATTTCCAGTCTTGTGGGACTGTAAATAGGGTCACGATTCGTACTGACAAGTACGGCCAACCAAAAGGGTATGCTTATGTGGAATTTCTTGAACCAGAGGCAGTCCAGGAGGCTCTCCTTTTAAATGAATCTGAATTACATGGCCGTCAATTGAAGGTAAGCAGTGTTTTGCCAATTTTTTCTTTATGTTAATTGCCAATCATCATGGTTTTGTAGTGCATTCGAGTTTAATATTTTTCTCTTTTTTCTCAACATATCCCTCTTAAAAAAATAGTACTTTTCTTTCAACCTCACAATTCATAGGTTACTGCTAAGCGGACAAATATTCCAGGAATGAAGCAATATCGTCCTCGACGATCTAATCCATTTATGGCGCCTCGAGCCAGAGGCCCATATATAGCTCCATATATGTTCTCTCCTTATGGATATGGGTACGTTGTACACGACTTCTTTTCTCATCTTGGTTAGATGGGTGAATTTCTCTAATTCCTATTATTGTGCGGCTTTCTTCTTTATTCGGATTCTCACGGCCGTGGAGGATTCTTACCAATGTTTCTTTTGTTTTGCAAATTTCAGGAAGGTTCCGAGATTCAGAATGCCAATGCGTTACAGTCCTTATTATTGAAGATTCAATTTTTGATGAGGAGAAAGATGTTATCCAACAAAAATCTTGCCCCTTTTTATTCCCTAATGTTTATAGTGAGATCAGTGAGCAACTTTCCACCAGTTTGGTTGATGTAGTGCAAGAATTTGAGGATTTAGTTCCTTTTGGTCTTGAACAATGTAGTGATGATGATTGTGCTTGTGATGTTACCTTCTATATATTTTCACATAAGGATTTTTCATTTCAACCCCTTGTTTCGATGCCTGCAAATTCTCATGGTCACCGACAGACTATTTCGCAAGTGCGATATGGACAATGGAGCTCACCCAATTACTCGGATCTTCAATTGCTGTAGTAGTTATGTAACGAGAAAGGGCAGTAATCTGAAGCATTCTGCTCTATGTATACACACACACACACGTACATATTTTACTGATGCGGACGAAAAATGATTTGATTGAATTCCCCAGGAAATACATTCTCTTGTAGGTTGAGTTAGCCCAAGTCCAAATTTCAATCATGTATACGAATAATGAGAATACAGTATGATTTAAACAAAAATGATATTTTAAATTTTAGATTAATCTCATTTGAAAAGAATTTTCAATCAAATAGTTAAGTTGAATTTTTAATTGGACTTCTTTAATTTCGTAAGCTTTTGGATTCCTTCAGAAAAGAATTTTAAATCCAACCTGTTTAAAAAGACGAAAGTACCCCTCAACATCACTGTTGTTTCGCCGGAAGTACCAATAGCAGTATAACACTTGACAGAGTTTTCCAGGACGTCCCAAAATTTGGAATAACAACCCGAAATTAAGCTAACGGGTCAACAGCAACCCGAACTTATACCCGAAATGGTAGAACCCTCATCACCTTCAACCACATCCGACTGACTTCTCTGCACCATCCTTTTTCCTACATTTCCCATCTCTACACCATCGCAGCCCAAATAATCATTGATCATCTTTCCTTTATTTCGCTTTCTTCCCTGCTTCGGTTTTCCCGAGATATTAGTGCATTGAAGAGATGGAGGTTGGGCGGCGGCGTCGGATCCGAACGACGGGAACAATCTCCCTTTCCACGAGGTGACCGTTTTGACGGAGCAGCACTCCTGCCAGTTGAGATCGTTGAGGTCTCCAATCACGTCTTCCACAGTCAGAGATGCGCCAGGGCTGATGTTTTCTCTCAGTGTTGAGCGCGACGGATCCATCAGATCAAGTTTACTCAGCGCATCGACTATCTCTTTCTGTGGAGTATTGATCGAAAACAAAAGACGTTTGGTTGCAGAAATATTTTAGAGAATCTGGACAACAACATACTGCATTTCGTGTATTTAGTTTCCTTGTGGTTTAAGTAAACTAAACAGTAATCCGGCTCTCATCTAGGTGAAATATTAGAAGCTGATCTGGACTGCAACGAAACAAGATTTTAGCATAACGCTATCATTTGGCTAACTCATTATGTTGAATTTTGTTTCCTACTCATAATCTAAAGACAATAACTAATAATTTTTACTTTCCTACATTTTCTCGATAACCAAACAGGGATTTAGATAGGAAATTTACGCATAGACAGGAGAAAGCAGTAAGAGTACCGAGAATATATCGTTAGTACCTTGCGAACTGTTCGGATATGCCTGAAACCGTGCATGTTAATGATCTGCAGATGATGAAAACACTCAGAAATTTTCCGAACGAGAATCAGAGACAATAAAATAAGACGAGAAAGAAAAGAGAGAGGAAAAAAACTCCGGCGAAATGAAAGAACCTGATGGATGAAATCGACGGTGAGATTAAGGTCATTGCGAGAGAGAAGGAAATCAAGGTAGCAATCGAGAGAGATCTTCTTCTTCCTATTCAGTTTCTTCATATTATTCTCTTTGCGGTTCTCTGCACTCGTCTCCATCAATCGAGTACTTAGCTTAATGTGAGTCTGCTTTGAATTTGATTTCAGTTTAACCATCGGTGTTTAATCAGTGATTTTATTTGCTACGGGCGGTTAAGCTTGCTCGTACAGAGCAGCCAATCTCTTCTTGCCACGTCACTCCTTGGTCATTTGATCAAAACTGTGGTCAAACAAATATTTCATATTTGGTTTAGCAACTAAAAACTTAATTAGTGTATTTAAGAAATAAACTAACTCTAATTAATAATTTATTAAAAATTAGAAAAGAAGAATAAGAGAACAATAGAAAAATTCATTTTTAATTTTTATGGTTATCACAAAATTGTTTTTAAGTATATAGATATATATAGACAAATCCGATCACTTACGCTTTACCATGTCGTTACTCTACTACTGAGTTAAAACGGGTTTATTTAGTTTAATTACTGAATGAGTCATTAGGGTAATAAAGTTTATCTATAGGTATGTATTGTAAGTAAATACAGTAAACTCGTAGTGGTTAGTAGCTTATTCAGAAAAAGAGATAAGAGACATAGAAAAACTTGTTTTAATTTTTATGGTTATCACAAAAATCTTTAAATATATGTTTATATATATAGACAAATCCGATTATTCACGCCTTACCATGTCGTTACTT